CAAATGAGGCAGCCATTTTGTGCACAGCCAGATCCAATAATGAACAATTTATCTGGAGGATTATTGGCCAAGACATTGGGAGAAACTCCTTTCCCTTTCAAATAGTGCTGCGTGATCTTTAACGCACACTGGAGCAGAAGGAACCTCGATTTAATGTCTCTTCTGAAAGATGGCACGTCCAACAGTGCAGTCCTTCCCCAGTACTGTACTGAAATATCAAGGTATATTCATTGTGCACGCAAATACTCTGCTAGTCAATCTGCATCCCTTAGTTCTGCCATGTGATAGATCACAAGGTCCTACAAAATGCCACTGTATAGTGGTGTCAATTAAGGTGTGCTCAGCTGTCCAATAAGACAATCCTTGCCTATCAATTTTACTAATTCAATAAAATTATATGACACAAGGTATTAATTAATGAATTTCTTTGATAGTTTAGCAAATGATGTAATTATAATTAGAATGATGCAGACCCTGTTCTGGCCTAGATTCATCAAGCAATCCAAAACCTGTGATCTTGGTAATGTTTGCTTCTGAAAAGAGCAAAGATCAAAATCCTGGCTCACGACGTGTGTGGTATCTGTTTAACCTTGGCAACACCAGTGAAATGTTCCTCCTGCTGCAACAAACTCCTGTAAGTGTTATAAGGCAACTCTTGTACAAAGGATAAGTGCTTTCATTAATTCGACCTGCACTGGCTGCTCCCACTGCATAGATCTCTGCCCAACACCCAAAGCTAATGTGTCGCTGTGGATTTGGGGGCACAACCTGCACTATGATCTAGAGGGAATAATCCAGGTCTAAAAAAACCTAAGAAAACATCTGCTCAGTGAACACCATTAAGAGATGCCATGTTTATAGTAATAAATGATGGAGAGAATTTTGTGTAGGTCGTCCATTACCTTTGTGTGATGTCACTGTCATGCTTTAAATTCTCAGAGGAAATGCTGCAGCAGACTGTGCCCTTCACTGCATAACGTTAAAAAGGTATAAAGGTGGTTGTCTACAGGATTTTGAGCCTTGCCCCGTGTGACTGTAATCTCATGGTATTTTGGACACTACTTGGCCATTCCCAAAATTTTCTCTAACAGTCTTTCATGTTTCCTTCTGCTTTTGATAACCTCATGAAGTCATCAGGCACACATCTCTGTGCTTTTTAGGATCAAGGGAATTTTCTTGGTGCCTGTAACATTAATACGATGTGTAATTCTATAAAGCATCTACTGTAGTTAGCATTATTTCAGTTTTTAATACAATAGGGATTGTACATTTTACCTCTGTACTTTGCCAGAATTATTTCAAACTAAGCTTGTTTGCTTACATTTCTAAGTATGATTATTAACAAGCCAAACTAAAGGATTGCTCACTTATGCCTGCATTTTATCCTCATCCATTATACTGTGTACATGTGCCACAAACATTATTTTCGCAGCTGCAGTGATTCTTCTTTTTGTTAAAGGGATGAAAACAGATCACATACTGCATAAATTACAACTCCATGTGATCTATTCCACAACATGAAGGAAAGCCAAGTGACTTTGAAAGATTATATCAAATAACCTAACCACATTTAATGTTAGTATCCAGTTTAGCCATTGTATCAACCAAGCCTGTTTGAAACAAGGCACAAGGGACTCTGCTTTCTGTAGCCCAGTTGAATGCACTTAATCACATACAGTGGTGAATCAAGAACTGGCAGAGCAGAAAATGGTCTCCTAAAAATGATGCACGCTGATATTGATGGAGAAGGGCATTGTGCTGCTGGATAAGCATGTTAGTTACTGCAGCAATAAGTAACCTGATAGTTTCCAGTAAAAGGGAACATTATTCATGGGTTCTGTTCAGTGCCATGCTGAGGTGGCACAGTCTGCTTAATGCAAACTCAGTTCTTTTGAATCTGGAAATGTCAACTAGTTGTTGGGATGGTTTTAGTGGTTAAGCATCTGGCAGACAGTTAACATGTCACTCTCCTCAGGCCCCAGCCTTCTCCCCCACAAAACAGCCGTCATCACCCCTACCTAAAAAAAAGACATCTTTGATGTTTCTAATTTTGCAAACTACTAAACAATCTTAAACTTGCCCATAACCTGAAGTCCTGGAATGCCTTGGTGGGCGTTGTTACAACCAACGTCACTCACATCTTTCCTTCTATTCGAGGAACCTCCAATCTGGCTTCCACCGTTCCCATAGCACCGAGACAGAATTCATCAAAGTCACAAATGACATCCTCCATATCTCTGGACCAAAGCTCTCTCTGCCTACTTGTCCTCATCACAGTCGAACATGCCATTTCTTCAACCACCTCTCCTCCCTTATCTACCTCAGTGGTTCGAGTCCTATTTGACTCACCACCATCACTTTGACTGGCCAACTGTTTCTCCTCCTGCCCCAGGCCTGTACTGTACCCCAAGGTTTTATTCTTGGCCCCCTCCTTTTTCTTATTTACATGCTCTCTCTCAATGATGACATCCAGAGACATGGGGTCAACTTCCACACATATAGAATGACACCCAAATTTATTTTCCCTCTTCTAGTCGTGATCCAGGTCCACTGATGTTCTGTTCACTTGCTTATCAGACATTATGGTCTGCATGAGCGCTAACTTCTGCAGCTCATTTTTGACAAAATGGAAGCCATACTCCTTGGCTCCCATCGACATCTTTTCACATGCAACTTTGACCTTCTTAGCTTCCCTGGCCTATTGCTCAGACTCACTGACCCAGTGCACAATTGAGGCATCTGGTTCAATCCCCAGCTGTCCTTTCCACTGCACATCGAATCCCAAACCAAGACTACTTCCTTCACATCTGCCACATTGCCTACCTCCAACCATACCTCATGCCCAATGTAGCTGAAACACTTATCCACGTATTTGTTATCTCGTGCCTCTATTTTCCCAATGCCCTCCTCCCAGTCTCCTCAGCTCCACCATTCATAAAATCCAATTAATTTAAAACTCCTCTCCCATACTAAACTCCATACCCCATCATCCCAGGTTTCTCTGGCTCCCTATTGCAGAATGGATCGATTTCAAAATCCTTACACCAACACACAAATCACTTCATACCATGGCATCTCTGTTCTCTCCGACCTGCTTATGCCCAACTCCTTCACTTCCCTCATTCCCTCCGCTCACCCATCAGGGGCTGTGCTTTCAGCCATTTCACCCAAGACTTTGAAACTACCTCAATCCTTCTGTCTTCCTTGTTTTCAGATAATACTTGAAGACCTTCCTTTTCGATCGTGCCTACGGTCACCTACTCTCTCTCTCTCTCTCCCTGGATCAATGTCAAGCTCCATCACTGTTAAGCACTCCAAGACACTACCTCATGTGAAGGGTGCTATATGAATACAAGTTGTTCCTGGTTGTAGAGTTGAAACATGAGATTATCATATCATTATGACAAAGTACACAACACAATTCTTTAACTTCTGTTAATCCTGCAAGTCAAAGGCCTAACAGGTAAGGTGGTTATAAGCTGGACAAGCAGCAGAAAGCTTACCAGACAGTGCTCTCAATGGGCAGTTGGTTAAACCACAGCACCATTCTGACATTCCCAAACCTTGGCTCTTGCCAACATGCACTTTCTCCAGAAGTGTAACCATGGTGAGTCCCTCCATGGTGAGATCGCCCATTCCATGCCAGACACAGGAAAATTTCCATGATGTACTTTTATATGTGTCGTTTCAGGTGGAAGAGCTCCATGAATACATGTGTGGATTTCAATATGGTGTGGAATATTCTTAAGCATTTCAAAAAGCACTAATTCAGAATAAGAATCTGCAATATGTTCCAATGCAGCAAGATATTTAAAGCTGAGAATGACACTGATGAACAAATGGATTTCACCTGCAGTTTAGGACAGCACCTCAGTGTCATGGCATGTTTCAGCCTCATATGTTGTGGATGTGACAAAGGAAAGAATGAATAAATGCAGCAACTTGATCTAACTTTCCCAATGTGCAACACGTACTTAAGCCATTAGTGTCTGAAGGAATGCAGCGCCTTCACAAGCTAATTCATTCTGGTGTTGCTGTGGAGAGTTTATTTGAGATATAGAATGTATGTAATGGTTATTTAAAACCCTATTTATTCTCTACTTTTAGCAGTGAATCAACACAATTCCCATATGCTATAGAGCTTCATTCCCCATTACACCTCTCACCTAGAATCACAAAAGGAAGATAACACATATCAAACTTGTCAGTATATTGCAACATATACACATGAACTAAAATCGCAAGGGAGAAAACAACATTTTATTAGTCTCCTCCATTTATTTGTTATTCACAGCTTTGCCTTTGGGTAGATTTCCTCAAAGTACTTTTTAGGTAATAACTGTCAATATTGTTTTTGAAGGCAAATGCAGCAGAATTTTTTGCCAGTAATATAATAATAATCTTCACATTTGATATGGTGCTTTAGCACTAAATATTACTGTAAAGTGAATTGACTGTATGTGTATATTTTGTGGGTGAATGGAATGGAAAAAAAATTATTATTATTGACCAGGAAAACTTCCCGCTTTCAAATACTTCCATAGGATCGATAACATTTACTTCATAGTTAGACATGCCCTTGGCTTACCCTCTCATCCGAACAATGGCACCTCTAACATTGGAGAGCTCCTCAAGTACTACACTGGAATGTCATTTTAGATTATCAGCTCAGGTATCTACATGGAGCTTGAATGCACTACCACCTGACCCATACGCGAGAGTGCTTACTATTGTGACAAACTGATGGAGTCTAGTGTAAAAGGGTATACATGGAGTCACCTCTCCCTTCCATCAAAATAATAATAATCCTTGCATTTGATATAGCGCCTTATCCTGTCGTTGAGACATCTCAAAGCGCTTCACAGAATATACTGTAAAGTGAATCAACTGTTTTTTGGTTGAAACTCAACAGCCAACTGCACACAGCAGTGTCCCATAAATAGTCGTAGTCTAAGAAAATAACGCAGTTAATAGTGGAATTCCTCAACCTGATGCTGCAGTTTTGTATCCAGTAAAAACAAGTTTATTTAAGTTTTTAAGCCCAACAAAGCATCTGTGTGTACATGGTCACTTCATTGTATTAGCTGAATACTTCAATCATCCAGAACAAGGGCAGACAAAAATCTATTACAACACAATGAAGGCTTATAAATCAGTAGGCTATTAGGTTTCTCCAAACATTCTTTATACACAAAACCATGAATATATTGCTTGATAATTAAAGTACTTTTTATATAAATTGTCAAATTTATGAGTTTTTTTTAAAAATCAAAATTACCCAGAAAAACCTAACCTCGCTGACGTGGGTGCAACATTTTGCTTTGCCGCTGTAAGGCAGATATTGTCTTGGCAGTCATCTACAGATCTGCAGCAACCTGCTCTACCAGCATTCATCACTGTCAGACAGGGCCCACCTGTTCACGCATGATTGCAATAGCAGAACGTGGCCAGCACAAGAGAAGGACTGACCCAGAAAAACACTGAAGGATTACAATTAGCTTTTGTTGCTCAACAGATGAAGCACCAGCTCTTCATCTTCAACCAGAGAGAGGCCTGTGTCCAGTGGTTTATATTCCTCATCAGAGTAAATGCCGTCCTTTGTTCTCTTCTTCCTCTTCTGAGCCGTTAGCATCTCCTCACTTTCACCAATGCTGCTGCTGCTGTAATTTCTCTTCCGTTTGAGTTTCACCTCAGCTGGTCTGCTGCGTATATGCCAGAATGAGGGGTGGAGGGGAGAGAGGGAAGAAAATCAATAAGTGCTTAAGCGAGCAATCAATTATCATACTACAATGTGAATTTATTGTTTAATTTCAAAGGTGAATTTCAACCTACCAAAAGGGAACTATAGCTTGTGAGTGACACCGAGGAATAAACCAATAACAAAGCTTCAGTTATTGCCACCCTTGTGAAGAAACTTAATTATGTTGCTAATTTATTCCTACTTCCAGTTTATTGCAGCCAGACTGACTGTGAAATATTTCTTTCAATCCATTTTGTCCCACGCAAATTTACCGCAGTAATAAATTTGAAAAACACATATAGATTTACTATGCTTTCAGGAGCAAATGCACATGCAATCAAGATTCACAGCCAGTTAGCAAATTAATTTATGTGCGGCAAGGATATTCTGGCTGCATTAAATCAGCCTTTTATGCTATGTACATGTCAACTGCAAATGAACCTTAATATTTGTGTCCCTTTACAGTTATTTTCATCCACAACTGAAAAGATATGCAATGTATAACAATACACATTCAAATATGCAGCAATATAAACCCAGTTAAATCTTTCTCTGTGCAAAGGTTACTATAGAATAAAACATTGGTACTTTGAGATATTTTTATGAAAGGGCACTGCAGTTACTTTCATCTTTTGTGGCCCCACAAAAATAGTCACACCACTTTACATTAAACCTGTGAAGCGCTTTGTTAAAGATATATCAAATGTGAGGATCATCAACTTATTTTACTAAATACAGGGTGACCAAAAAGTGAAAGCTACCCTATTATGTTAAATAAATTCTCTAAGACTTATTAGACATTGTAATAGTATCACGACTTTTTGGTCACCCTGTATTTCCAGCAATAAATGATTTTGTTTTAGGACCAGGGGACTAATTTTAAATAGAATGTAAAACATTCAAATCCCTTTCCTTTAAGCTATTTTATAAATGCAGTCACACGCACACATTAAAGGACAGAAATATTGCAGCAGTAACAGCATATGCAGCCAAAACAAATTACAGCTGAACTCTGTGTATAAAAGTTGGTTAAATAATCCTTGCGTTTGATGTCTGGCCTTATCAAATCTCAAAGCACTTTACTGGATATTTACTGTAGGCACTGACAATGCAGCACTCCCCCAGCACAACACTGTTAAAAGAAACACTACAGGACAAAATATACAGATTTTAAACTTTTAAAGATCTGAGTCACGCACATTTCCTCATTTTGATTCAACGCAATCCACCCGATGACACACAAGCAACATTGTCAAAGGCAGCTATGAGATTGCGAAATATGTCATGCCTGGAACAGTGAGACAACTGATATTGGAGGTTGTATAAATATGGATTTAGGGTTTTTGTTTTTTAAATAAAGCTTGGCTAAGAACAGTGCCAATGATGGTGGGGATGCCTTCAGCGAGCAGCTATATAACCCAGCACAGTGCTCACAGAAACAAAATAAATCACTGAAACATGTCCTTAATCAGCTGCTTTGGTTTAAATTTTATTTCATTGTAACCCCACTCCTCTCTCTCTCTCTCTCTCTCTCTCACACACACAAAGAGGGTGGAAGTCAATATGGGGGGGAGGGGGGGTATATTGAATATTGAAATGTCCTTTCAGTTATAATTAACTCTTTGCGTAAAGCTCAGCACAATCAGCCTCTCTCATTACCACCAAAGCAATCCCTCTTCCCTGCTTTCCCTTAATTCCCCCTCAAACCTTGCAACAACCTTTTCCCTTTTAATTCACTGAATGTAGACACATTTGTCACCTTGCCAGCTGAAGCTGCTTTCTTCTAACCTGGCTGAATTGATTGTCTTTGTTGGCCCTGCAAGCAGATGAATAATTATTTTCAGCATGCACTTGGCTTGCAGAATGTTCGACTAAAAGTTGAGAACGTCCTTCAAAACAAAACTAGGTAAGTATCTGCTTCAATACAGACCTAGAGGATATATAGGTGCTGACTGAGATGAACAAATACTTGCGACGCAATCAATAATGTGTTGCTACAGCTACGTTTGTCTTTGAGACGGTCTATTCAAATCTGGAGTTAGAGTGAAGGGTGTCTGATCCATTAGATGTATTGTCTGTGGAGGGCAAATGCCTTCTCGTATTCAATGTTTTCTTCTGCTCCTTTATAAAGAGCAGGTGCAGGAGTTAAGCAAATGTTAAGCAAGATTTAAAGATTAAAGGCAAAGTTTTAAACAAAAACTAATTGAAAATAAAACTACAAGAGAATTCAATTATTAAAATTCAATATAAATGAAACATGTAAAACAGAAATAATTTTTAGATTATTTATTTGGGAGAATGCTCCCTTTCTTTCTGCTCCTTTGCCTAGTCCAGTGATTGTTTAAAATGATTGGATTCAGGCTACCTTTTAAAAAATATCTTGCTTATTGTATCTACTGCATAATGAGAAATCTGTGTGCAATGAACAACATGGGGAAAATATGTGGTAGATATTCAGCCAGTGCTTCTGGCTCTGGAATTTCCCCAAAACATTTAAATTCAGTGTTCAGATTTGAAGGTCCCTTGAATGTATTGTAGTGAAAATAAATGTAATCAAAAATGTTTTACAGGATTACGGCAATGCTATAATTTGTAGAACAGTTTTTGTTCCCTGTTTTTGTAACGCTCATTTTTATAAAACAAACGAGCAGTCTGTCTATTCTGGTGGCTTACGTGACCAAAAAGAATCCCACGGCATTATCTTGAAGGGCAACAATGAGGTGTGATTAGAAAGTGACGTCTTGGTCAATATTCGTTCCTGTTAAAATTCATTGAGATTAAATTTAGTTCATGTCATTGCTGATTGTTTGAATGTTTTTGGTATAGATAGCTGCTGCATTACCCTCTAGTGACCGTTATAAAAGCAAGAAGAGATGGTAGCTAGTGGTCAGACTTGCAAGAGACAGCATCCTTATGAAGTCAAAGAATGGGGATCATTGTCTCATCAAATGGCATCAAAGAGATCAAGGTCGAGTGATTCTGTCACTCCACTGTGAGAGGAAATAAGAGTGCGTGTAATCTGAAGCAAACGAAACGGATATTGTGTGGAATCAAAAGCAAAAGCTATGCTAGCTTTGGATCAAACGTGCAAGTCATTGATGTCATTGATGTGGGAAAGGAACAGTAAAGAGAGAGTAAATAGTCATGGGAAATTATAAATTGATAGAAAAAGAGTGAAAAAGCAAGTACAGCATATAAAGAAAGTGATAAATAACACCGAATAATAAAGCTTTGGTGGAAGAGCACAACAAGGCAACCATTTAAGCTGTGCAGAAATGCCTTCAGTGTCAAATAACTCATAGATGTCCAACTTGGTTGCAAGTGAGTCACCAAAATGTTCCAGAGATCCAGAGGTACATAACTTAGGGAATCAATGGATCAAATCTGAACTTTGAAGAGAACAATTTTAGAGTTGACAGCAGTACAGAAGAAAGGCTTTGGGTGGCAATTTGAATGGTAAGAGGGATTGGCTTCTTTAGAGACAGTTATTTAGTTTGAGAGTTTTAAGAGTTAAAAGTTATGAAAAAAACTTATTGATTTACCTAACTTTAAATATAGCTTCCGGACTACAACAACAACAAGATTTCATTTATAGAGCGCCTTTCAAGTCGGGAGGACGTCCCAAGGCACTGGACAGTTGGATCAGGACCCGAGCAGGGGGGAAATGGTGAGAGGAGGGAAGGGAGGGAGCGAGGAGGGGGTAGAGAGTCGAGAGGGGAGCTGAAGGCACGGTCAAAGAGAACTACTGTTGACATTATTGATGTGGGCATGGATATGGCTGACATGGGTACTTCCTCATCATTTTCTGGCTCAACTGTACTAATAAGATCATTCTCAGATCCTCTCCCGTCTCTCATTCACCTCCAATTACACTGCCCTACCAGCTCTTTCCTTTTCCTCCATTTCTTCACTGTATTACATTTAAAACTGATTGCATTACCTCCTATTCAAATTCCTTTCTTCCAGGACCTTGTACCACAGAATGTTCTTTTCTCCTACAATCTTGGAAATCACAGTCTCATTTTCTCTCCTGGTGATTTCAACCTTGATAATGTAGTACACAGTGGAGCTTTGGTTCTTCACCTCGCTAGTCAATTTTTAGAGAATTTAATAAGAATCCTTGTATTTGATATAGTGCCTTACCACGTCATCAAGGCGTCTCAAAGCGCTTCATAGAATATACTGTAGAGTGGAGTGACTGTGTATTTTGTGGGAGAGATGCAGAAGCCAATTACACGCAGCAATGTCCCACAAATGGCCATGGAGTGGGTGGCCAATTTTAGTTGGGGGATTGTTGGCCAGGACACCGGGAGGAACTCCCTTATCTTTTTGAATAGAGCCATGAGATCTTTATCATCTAGGCAGACGGTACCTTGGTTTAACGTCTCATCCGAAAGACAGCACCTCCGACAATGTAACACACCCCAGCAACTTACTGTGACCCATATGAAAGTAAGTTCTTCCAAACGTATTATCTTGTAATTAATCCATTTTTTTTCTTTTTCTTTTCCCCGTGAACCTGAAATCTTTCAAGCTTGAGCTTAATTATTGCTTGCAAATGCAGAATGTCTCTTTGTGCCCAACTTAAATCAATAAATCCAGCTGTACTCATCCCAATAACACTGTCTATAGTATTCAGTTTGTGCTGCAGTGGTTAAATGTAATCCAAAATCAAATATTTAACAAAGCCAAAGAAAAAAAGTATATTAGTTAAAATAAGTATATTCTAAACCATGAAAGTTCATGCAAATTTAGTAGGACACATATCAAAAGCAGCTTACTGCCACATGAAAAAAAATAGTGCTTTACTGCTTCCTGCAATGCTAATATTCTCGTGTCCCAATAGTCTAACTTACAGGAACTGAAAGGTGTTAAATAAGGTTAATAACAAAGGCCCTATAAAATAAGACTGATGGATTAGCTGTCTCAGCAATCTTGTGCACAAAGGTTAGTAACCACATG